TTAGTTTTCTAGGAATTGGTGTTCTTTAAATTATTCTTCCCATTTTCAGATCTTATCTTATGTAGAAGGTGTCATAGGAAGTCACATCAATCTAAATGTGAAGGTTCATGTGTTCTTAAATGGAAATAACAAAATCTTCTTTCTCTAGAGGCAACGTGAAATTTTTGAATAATAGTACACCACTGCAGACATGGCCAGATTTCCACTTTGACTTAAGTAAAACATGTAAAAAAATACACTTATAATTTCTGTAATAAAACGCTGGTGCAAATTAAAATAACACCAAAAAATCCAAATGCCAAAGGCATGTACAATGACACCTCCAAATAATCACATTTTATAAAATTTAATTTGGAATCTTTGCAAATGTGATTCAGAATTGTTTGAACCTAAAATACTTTTACTCATAATGCCTTACTGAAATAGATTCATTCACATAAAATCATGTCATCTATGTGCCTTAAGTTCTTCAATTCCAGTTATTATGGAATTTTAGAAGTTCATAGAGTAATCATTAGATTTACTAGAAACTCTGTCTTGAAAAACAAACAAAAAAAATGTATTTCTTAAAATTAGTGTAATACTGACATAATCATGAACCCAATATTCATAATACCCAGGGTTTTTGTTTTGTTTGGGGGGTTAATTTTTTAGTTTTTTTTTTTTGGGGGGACTACATTTTTTTTAACCGCTTAGTGAATTCTTGAAACAAAGTATCTTTGAATATTTCCTGTCACTTTGGTTTATATACCCTCAAAGATTTCTTTTTGTTTAACTGTATTGAACATTTTACAAAATGAATGAAGGATCATTTAGAAAGCCATTAATCTTTCATGTATGATGGAAAGCCATGCATCGTCTCAATAAATCAATGTTCTTGAAAGACACAAAAGAACTCAGCTTTAATTCCAAATCCTCTACTTAAAACACCAAATGTCTTTGTATTGCACCGAGTACTCCAGATGGCTAACTACGTTTCAGTTATGCTAAACTCTGCTTCTTTGCAAGTGTTCTTTTCCTCTGTGCTTGCAGACTTTATGTTAAAAGCTACTGCTTGTGCATAAACCGTTGCAGGCTACTATATTCTTATATGTAAATGTGGATATCTTTTAGATGGGGGAAGAACATAGGGAATCCCAAAGCCTTAACAACACATTAGTAAGAACTTTAAAACACGTTGAGGCTGTGATCAATTCTGATAAGTTCTTAATCAAGACCTAATCCATCACCAACTTAATTCCTTTTGAATTGACATTGCTGTCTGCTCATGGTTTTGCTAGTTCAGGACTGTGAGAGTTTGGAACTCTACAGCAGTCTTCATTTCACAATCACAGACACCATGTCCATTTCAAATTGGAATCTTAGAAAAACTTCAGATAGTGACATTAGCAGGGCACCTCATGTGCTTTTTAAAACAACTCGAACATCCCACACAGTGAAACCATTTGCATACATTAGCTCCTTCCAAAAGGAGTTAAAGTGGCATTTTTAATGAGTGCTAAGAAAAGCTCTGATTTCAGTCCATCTTACATGCTTTCCCTCGGGCAGCTTACAGGGCCTTTCTTGTTTCCTGTGCTTGAAAGAAAACATTATTCTCACCTCCTCTTCTCTCCTTTCATCAGTAAAGCTTGCCTCATACATCAAAAACAATGGTGACATCAGACACTTGGAATAGCTGGTCAACTAATGCATACATGCTGCAGGAGTTTTGAATGACATTTACATCAGAAAAAGCAGCTTTCCGTTGATATCATCATGCTCCAGATCTGCCTCCAGGCTGCGCCCAAACCCCTCCACCCACTGAATGCTATCCAATCAAGATCCTCTCCACTGCCCAACCCCAGGCACCTGAACATCCTCCTGCTTTCTCCAGCATACCCAGTAGACTACTTAGGCACAGGCGCAAATCACACCAGTTGGAAAATCAGGCACAGGTCAAACCATACCAGTTGGAAGAACAGGCACAGGCACAAGCCACACGAGTTGGAAGAAAAAGATGAGTTAACGCCGCTGTAATAACACATTCAACAACCGAAAGGGCAATATGGCACCACCAGATTCTAGTGATCCTACATTAGCAAAAGCTGAACGTTCCAAAGCAGCTAGAACAAGAAAACGAACTTCAAAATTACTACAAGAGGAAGACAGAGGCACTTAAAGAGGAAATAAAAATGGATAACTTCATGCTCGTGCTCTCTGTGCTCCTGCCGTGGTTAAGCTCCCTGTTTGCTGCCCAGTGGAAACTTACAGCCGCTACTCCACTGCCCTTGTGTTTCTGCAATTGCTGCTGCTGCTGCTGCTGCTGCCATATCCCTAATGTCACCACAACTGCTCCTTCTGCAGTAGCTCCAAGTATCACCACTGTACTCCCTTCCCCACAGGGCTGGTGAAGGTGTTATTGCCGCCCCCCACACCGCTGGTACAGATGTTATTGCCACCCCCAACATGACTACCGCTTCAGCTTCTCCCACAAGGGCTGACATCCCTGCGAGTGCTGATGCTGCTGTATCAGAGCCAGGCTGGCTGCCCTCAGAGCCAGCTTCAGAATTTGCAAATGTGTGATTCCCTCCTGTATAATAAGCAGGAGCCCTTTACTAAGAAGATTTTTGCTAACGATGCGTTGTGTGCTATTTCATCATCACCACTTAAGGTCTGATTCACATTTTCTATCCCAAGGATTTTCCTTAAATGTTTGAGAATAATTTGCATTGTAAATGAATGTCCTTGTAAGGGTTTCTCATGTAAGGTAACATCTGAGAAAAAAATCAAATTTAAACCTTTGCCTATAAAAGTCAAATATGTTTTCTAAACTTTAAATTTTGCTTTGTTTAAATTGAAACATTAAAGAACATAGAGATTAAAGAATTAGAGATCTTGATTTTAAAAACAATTGGGGGACAGTATTTCATTAAGTTCTACTGTTTTTTATAAATCAGGATTTTAGTGTTTTTCACATTCACTTAACTAAAATCATACTTCAGTGTTTAAAACATTATCATTTATAGCTCATTACAAAAAAACTTAAAGTGATACTTGTATTCTATGCCACAAACTCATACTAAGATAAAAGCAATAGCAATGTATGCCAAATACAGTGAAAATACCAGTTAATCATTTTTCTGTCATTGTTATAGATTTAAAAAAAAAAAAAAAACCTACAGTCAGACTATATAGGTGTCTAGAGTGACAAAGCAAAACAAGCCCCTGCCCTTTCTAACAATGTGCTACAGGCAGTTACTCTGTCCTTTCCTTGTCTCTATCACCAACTGTAAGATGGTGCCAGCAACAGAACTTATTTCTAAGCATCATTTTAAGTTTGAATGAAAGAGAATAAGTAGCCATCTGTTGTTACTGAATGCTAGTTTTATTGTGTTGGGGAGAGTAGCTTATCATTGCTCAAAGACCAGGTTCCGTGAGTGCATAGTGATTGCTTACTAACTACTAATATAACTAGATATGATGTTAAAAATCAGTGAGTAATTGCATTTCCTGAGTGGGTCCTACAAATATAGTATCTAAATAGTCAAATGACTGGGGGAAGAAGGGTTTCTGAAGAGCCAAGATTATAGTCGCACAGAGTGGATCTGGCTTCAAACAACAGGAAGGAAAGGAAGAAGGCAGTGATTACAGTAGCACAGAGGGGGTCCTGGACTCAAGCAAGAAGAAAAGACAGGCATTAGAAGTGATGGCAGCCTAGACCTGGGTGTAGAAGAAAACCTCTTGAATAAAGCTGGTATCTACTTAATTGCATAATGATATTTCATTTAACATTATTTTAAAACAGAAGAGAACAAAAATGGGCATCTTCTAATAGATGTTACATTATAGCGACCAAGAAATCAATTTCAGTCCACACAGGTCAAACAATTCAAACAATTTCTATCTAAATCTAACACTACTCTAGTTTGCTTTCTGCTTCTGTGATTCTGACTAAAAGAAACTTGGGGAGAATATGTTCATTTCGTTTACACTTGCAAGAACAGCTCATCACTAAGGCAAGTCAGCAGTAACTGAAGCAGAGAATGTAGGAAAAACGCTTCCAGCTTGCTCCCTCCTGCTTACTCATCTGCCTTTCTTATATAGGCCAGGATTGCCTGGCTAGGGGATAGCACTGCCCACAGTGGACTGGGCCCTCCTACATCAGCTAGCAATTAAGAAAATGACCAACAGATATGCTTAAGGGCAAGTCTGATGGAGGTAATTCATCAGGAAAGGTCCTTCTTCCCACGTGGGTCAAGTTGACAACAAAACTTATCCACCACAAACACTAAAGGCTCAAGTGTGGCATAAATAATAATGCATCAGTGAAATCATCTGGAGACACCACTCCATGTAGCCATCTTCTAGGTTTTTCTGACAACAGACCAGGGTCTTTAAAAATCAAGTTCCTCTATGCAGCAGGTGTGGATTTGAAGTGGGTCTGCTTGATGCCACAGCACTCAACAGTGTTCCAGGGAATGAACAATGGCCTGATATTGAGGACCAGGAGGTAGCAGCCAATTTTTCGCAATAACAATGACACTAAGACTCTAATCGACCCCTCTGGTTCTGGTCTCTGGTTATTGCTTGCTTACAGACAAGTAGACTCGAACCCAAGGCCAGGGTCAGGAGTCCAGCCTACATGCTCCTGCATCTGTTTTCCATCTCACTACAAAACTGAAAATCCTAAGTGGCTTTCAATCTCTGCTGTAACAACCCTAGGAAGCTCTCTAAATTGGCTCTGTCTAAAGGCTGAGATGATGACATCTGTTTCAGTTGATTCTCATGGCTGTGTTCATTTTGTATCTCAAACTAGCAATAAGGAACAAACTTCCGAAAGGAACCAACTGCTAAGTTACAAACTGCACAGACATCTTTGCTCAGGTACACCCAGATACCAAAACTTCCCTTTCTCTTTACATAGCCTCAGGCAGTCTACATTTTTCATCTAGATTTTTTTTTCCAGTGACTTCTCAAATTTTATTGGTTCCTTAGTCCCCAGGGTAGCCTCCTTCTCAGCCTCAATGTCTCAGAACTCTCATGTCGTTGGTCTCGGACACCACTTTGCCATCCACAACCTTGTGGGTGGTTGTCCTCTGGACAGTTTGCATGGAGTTACTGGAGTCCAGGGCATCGCTGAGACTGAAGTCTTCCCCATCTTCTAGCAAGCGGCGGTAGGTGGCAATCTCAGCCTCAAGTCTAACCTTGATGTTCAGCAGGGCTTCGTATTCCTGGGTTTGGCGTTGCCCCTCAGCCCGGGTTTGTGCCAGCTCTGACTCCAGGTGCAGAAGGACCCCATTGAGCTGCTCCATCTGCGCGCTGTATCAGGTCTCCACATCCCTAAGGCTGTTCTCCAAGCTGATTTTCTGATTTTTCATGGCATCCAGGTCGATCTCCAAGGCCTGAAAGGTGCGTCTCAGGTCAGTGAGTGTGGTCTCAGCATCTCTGATTTCAGCAGACTGGGTGGTGACTACTGTGGTGCTCTCTTCAATCTGCTGGGACCAGTACTTGTCCAGTTCCTCACGGTTCTTCTGAGCCAGTTCCTCATACTGGGCCCGGATGTCAGCCATGATCTTGCTGAGGTCCTGAGATTTGGGGGCATCCACTTCCACGGTAAATCCAGAGCTGGCAATCTGGGCTTCCAGTCCTTTGACTTCCCCCTCGTGATTCTTCTTCATGAACAGCAGTTCCTCCTTGGGGACTCGATTTCTGTCTCGAGCTGCAGCCGCCTGGCCAGCTACCTGGACAGGGTGAAGAGTCTGGAGACTGAAAACAGGAGATTGGAGAGCAAAATCCGGGAACATCTAGAGAAGAAGGGGTCCCAGGGCGCCAGAGACTGGGGCCACTATTTCAAGACCATCGAGGACCTGAGGGCTCAGATCTTTGCGAATTCCGTGGACAATGCCCGCATCCTGTTGCAGATCGACAATGCTCGACTGGCTGCCGATGACTTCAGGGTCAAGTATGAGACAGAACTGGCCATGCGCCAGTCTGTGGAGAGCGACATCCATGGACTGCGAAAGGTGGTGGATGACACCAACTTCATCTAGATTTCTTAGGTCTGCAGTCAGCAGTCTAATTCTTGGTCCTTAGCTTGAGTGTTTGAGAAAGTATAAGAACTTAGGCCCAGTAGGGGGCCTCAGGTATTAACTGAGTGTCTGAGAAAACATGGCATCCCTCTTCCCTTTTTGTTCCCTGGTCATTATGAGGGGAAGTGAACCCCTCTTCCTTCTTTTCATTTCCTGGTCTCTATGAGGTGAGCATTCTACTATATTAAATGCATCCTGTTGTCATATCTACCACATTTGCACCAAAGCTACTGGCAAATCATCCATGGGCTGAAGTCTCATGTTTGGCTGTGTCTTCATGTCTGGGTTCATTGCTGTGAGCCTTTGTTGGTATCATGGGCATGTAACTCCTGCAACCTGTCTGCATGATTCAATTCCCATGGACAGTTAGGCTCCATATTATCTCTTCCACCACTAATAAAGCTGTGTTCATTAACAGTTAGCCTACTGTAGTTAAATTTTCCTTCAACCACAACCACTGCTAGAAAGCAAAAACCAACTCATTCATGTCTATGCATTTAATTAGGAGACACGCTTAGTTATATCCATGGTAGAAACATCCCCATCAAAGACAGCTTAACATCCAAATTTAATTTAGCTAACTATAAATGTGACCCAGAGAAAATACACATTTTCTGTTTTCTAAGTATGTCCTTCCTCTCCTCTCTTTCCTCTGCTTTGTTGCCACAGTCTCCCCTTTGAAGCCCAGGCAAGCCTTGAGTTTGCCATCCTCCCCCATTGTGTTGATTTATACTTTATACTTCTCTTTACAACCAATTAATGCTTTGTCTAATGTGATATATTCATGTTCTCTGAAAGCAAACATTATTAACTCTTTCACAGAAATGTTGGTTGAGCATATTTTCTGATTTAAAAACCAACGAATCTTCACTAAACCACAAACAAAACTGGAAGTTCGGTTTAAGCATGGACCAGGCTCAGTGCTGTCAATCATCTGCATAGTGCTTGAACCTTCATCTTTTCATCACATTTTCAAGGGATAATTTATGATGATGCATAGTAATTGAAAACAGAGAACTGTATTAGAAAGAATGAAAGCTTTGGACTTTGAAACTAAGTCTGTCCTAAACAATGTGCTCCCATGGTTATGGTTGCTCATAGCCTGTGTGTGAAGTGGGGTTAATTTTTCATTGGTGTGATAAAACACGATAAAGAAAAACATCATTGAAAGGAAGGATTTATTCAGCTTATACTTCCAGGTCCTAACCAACTCACCCCTGAGTGAAGTCAGAGCAGGAATTCAAACAGAAACTATGGAGGAAAGGTACTTATTAGCTTCCTTCCTGGCTCATGCTCAGCTAGACTTTCTTACGTAGTCCAAGACTTTGTGCCTAGGGATGGTGCTACCCACAGTGACCTGGGCCCTCCCACATCAATCATCAACCAGGACAGTGCTTCCCAAACAGGCCCATAGGCCAGTCTCATAAATTCTTTACAGTAAAGGTTCATTTTTCCCTGGTGACTCTAGGTTGTGTCAAGTTAGCAAAAGAAGACTGTTCAGTACAATAAGTGTCCAGCCCTGCCTTCGGGATCACTGCACTCTCAGCTTCTTATTTCTAGAGAAGTTATTTTGGCAACAAAATCAACAAGCAAAAGGAAGAACTTGCTCCATTTCTTCCACTATAATACCAAAATAAATAAGTAAATAAATGAAAGGCACCGGAGTGAGACAACTGGAAACAGAATGGACACTTTCCACCATAATTCTTCATAGAAACAGAACTTAGAAATTGCAGTGTGCAGCCATCAGATGAAAGTGTTTTAAGACTTACTGTTAGGAAATATTCCCGATAAGTGATTAAATTAAAACAAAGGTCTTTACAACCTGAACATGGCCTGAAGTGTCCATCATGACATAATCAATGTCCTTTTCAATATTTTATAGCAACCCTTATATGAAATGCTACTTAAAAATGGCTTCTGCACTAAACAGGTGTCCAAACAGACTACTGAAGTGAAGAACACTCATCTGGGACTGCATTATAAAAAAACATAAAACAGATTGTGTTAGTTACCTAAAGTAAATGTCTTCAAAAACCATTATGTTAAAAACAGGATTCACTTCCCTCTCTTAGCTAAAAACCTTTCTCTTCTGAGCTTTTCTCTCCAGTTCACTGAACATTCACTGTCATGTAAATTTTATTTTTGTGCTAGACTTTAAGTAATTAAGAAAATTGCCATAGAGGTGTTTCGATGTACATCCTTAGTAATTCCCTTAAATTTAAATGCTTGGTTGATTTCCATCTACACAGAGTCCTTACATGTGTCGCCACTGTCCCCTTGTGAACAGTAGCTATTTCCCTTGACCAGTAGTTGTTTACATTTTTGTGAAATTATTGCCTTCTGGGCCACACAAGGAGTAAACAGTCAAATGAAGGAGCCTCAACAGTAAACCAAGCAACCTGCAAGAAGAATCTATACTACTGTGAGATATGTTTTCCTCCCAAGGCTTAGTGAAAGGCTGCACTGTGTGCCCTTTAGTAGACACAAGCACAAGTCTCTATGAGGCTATGCATCTGTCTGAGTTCCCACTGCAGGTAGGACTTTGAACAAGCTACTCCCCTTTTCAAATTCTGTTGACCAGGGAGCTGGAGAGAGGTTAAGAGCACTGGTTTCTCCTCCAGAATTCATGAGTTCAAAACCCAGCAACTGTATGGTAGCTCAGAACCTTCTATAATGGAATCTAATGTCCTCTTGGAGCATGGAGATGTATATGAAGACAGAGCAATCATATACATAAAATACATAAAGAAATAAATCTCAAATTCTGTTGACTGTGAAACTTTAAAATTCAACGTGCCTCTATACCTAACATCAAAACAATAGAGAAGCTCTTTAAAAATTAAAGTGTACATCAAATTTGCTAATGGAGGATTGAAAACTTGACTCTTAGGAAATAACAAGCTTACAAAGATAAATTTTAAACTTATTTTTTTTATTTCTCCAGTTATTTACACTTTGTCTCATGTTCTATCAATCAACAGAATGTGTTTAGGACACTTTTTAAAACTACTTTTCATTTTTTGGGGTTGGGGTATGGGAGCCCATTCATATTTAAGAGGTATGGAGGTCAGAGTTCAATGTCAGCTTTGTTTTTCAGATGTTATCCACTTTGGGTTTTTGAGATAGACTTTCATACTTAGGCCAGATTTAAGAGGTTTAGAAGCCTGGCCAGTGGCCCCCCAGGTGTCTGCTGGAGTGTTCCCTTCAGACAATCTCTGAGGTAGGAGGGTAAGATGAACTAAAAATAAGTGTATAATGTGATGAAGTTAACACTCAGCAAAGTGTGCCCAAACTCCAGTCTCAAACAATCACTCCCCTCCTGTGTTGCTACAGAAAACCACCATCTACCACCATTTTTAACCAAAGGTGATTCCATTTGGTGTATCTGCTCTTGGATGCTGACTGACAAACATTGTTCATGGGTATAAATGCATTGATGAACTCCCACAGATACACAAAGAAGGGGATACAGGGATGGCAACCTCTATAGTGTCCATCCATCTCTGCTTATGCACAGAGAAGAGGATACAGGGGCCGGCTGCCTCTACAGCATCTACAGCATCTATTCATCTGTGTGTATACAGATATAGCATGGCCACCTGCATCACATCAGCCTTCTGTGCTGGAGTAACCCAAGTTCTTAGAAAGCTAAACTGACACTCCTGACCAAAGCCATCTTGCCCCACAAAGAAAAACTCCCCTCCCCACATCATTCATTTCTCAATAAGTCAGGGGTCAAGTGGTGCTCTCAGTTTGCCAGGCCCTGGGCTCAGAACACTAAAGATTCATTACTTACTTCCAACTAATTATGACCTCAATGGAAAGATAATTTCTGTATTTTACTATTCAGCGTAATAAAACAGTAAGCTGACTTTCCAACACAGGCAATCCTGGTCCACATAGACACAAACATGAATGGCTATTTTAATGGGTTTAGTGGGTGGATTTAAATACACTATCTTAAAAAATAGACAGTGACTCAACTTTTTTGTAGCAATAGCATGACTCCAAAAGGCTGAGAAAAAAGAATCACTCTGACAGGAAAACAGAAGCAGTTCTAGTGTTTAGCGGCCCAATATTCACACAGTTTGACATAATCACACTTAAAGCAGTGGATAAAGTATGGGCTTCATTTTATATACTACTGCTAGTAAAAATGTCACAAATTCTGAAAATTGCTATAAATTTAAAATAACAAGGACAATATTTAATATGCTTTTAAATTTAAAGACATTCAGCTTCTCCAGAACATGGAGTGAAGTAAATTTCTGAGGAGAATATAGAAAATTTGGAAGGTGTCATGGACAAGGTATGTTACTTCCATTCTTTTCAGTATAAATGATGTCTTGGGGGTAGTGGATCTGGTTGGGAGGGACTGTGATGGTTTCATGGATGGAGAGAGGTGAGTGAGTAGCATTGTCTGTAAGCCGTGTTTTTACAGCTAAACTTCCTGCTTCAAGTTCAACTCAGCATTCACTTGAGAAGGCTTTGTGGATATCATTGCCCTTCTGGAATCTCAGACTGAAGCTTAGAGTCAGACCCCAGTGCAAGCTGGGAAGTGGGTAACTTCCACTGTGACACCTCTG